ATAATTAAAATATATTAGTTAACTTAATAAAATAATATAATAGTTTGCCAGAAATATTTATACCAATTGGGCCCATGACCCGTGCTCAAGGGTCGGACAATGACGGCGGCGCATGTATGTGGGTTTTAGCTCAACCTACTAACATGTAGGTCATCTCTCTTTCGAAGACTAGTGGTGCCCCTTGGAGTCCAAACCCAAGTCTCAAACTTGAACAATATAAAGTGGTTTCTATTTTTCTATTTGCGATTGACATTTTTCAATTTTTCACCAATTTTTATTACCAATTTATTTCAACTTCAAATGATCATTTTTTTACTTTAATTTCTCATTCACTCTTAATTAGTTAAAAAAATAAATAAACACATATACCAATTCTACTCATGGAGTAGGATACACTTTGCCAAAGAAATCATTTATCCAACTAACGAAACCCACTTAAATAATTGGTCAAAAGCTGGTCAAATCAACTAATTATACCAATTTTCCAGCAGAATTACATTAGAAGTTTATGACACTTGAAAATAAGTTCAAAGAACTTCAATATTCTGCTGAAAAAGAAGTTTAATTAGGAGAAGAAGAGCTATAGAGTCAACCAAGTGTAAAATAATTAATGAGGGATATTACGCTAAATTTGTAGTAATTTGACCTTTTGAAGCCACGCAATAATGAGGAAATAAGTTAGAAACACATTAAAAGGAAGTATATATTCATTTTTCTGCTCAAAAATATATTGCAATAAATTAACAATAATCATGATAACATCCCGTTTCCCGATTATATGAGTGGAGATTATCTCCTTTTATTAGTAAAAATGCAAAATAGGTTTTCACTAGTTAATTTTCATGGTGCAGCGGCAGCAGCCATGTTAGGTAAGAAATTAACGCGGATCCTATATCCATCACTCTTTTAAAACGAAAAAACAACTAAGCCCCTTTATTGTTCCCATAATTCATTTTCAATTACACATTTCGTAAAATTTACAATTTTTTCCAACCTTTCAACCACACATTTTATTCACTATTATCAAAATCTACTAAAAATATAATTTTTAGCAAAACCAAACAACGGCTTACTCTATTTTCTAATAGCAATTTTTGCTCAATTTTAAAGTTTAAGTTATTTTGGCTTCATAAAATGAAGTTGGGTTTCTAACAGTGAAATTATTGTTTCTACACTGCAGCGTTCCATCCAGATTTAAGGCTTGCTTCTAGGCAAGAGAAACTAGGTTTCATAAACACAAATCATTGAAATTTAGTATAACAACAGACAATGGCATGTTTGGTACGAAATATTTAAAGAAAAAAAATGAGCTAAAATTCTGTTTATTATACTCTCAAGACCTGTCTACCACCACGCAGAAAACATGCCCCCGAGTGTTCACCTTTTCCAATTGAGGCACAATAACTTCAAGGGAAACAACAATTAAATCTTTCCCATATATCTAACAAAGGGATTGTAAACAACTTGCCCTGACCAAGAGGAGTCTGTCCAGCACACGAATGGCATGATCTCTTTAGCTTAAACAGTGGATTAACAATTTTCTTAACCTGCAACATGTCAAAAACCAAAACGATTTTTCATGAAAATTCATCACAATCTTACTCATTGTCTCGACTAACTTATAAAAGTGCATTATTTTCAGAATGTTATGTGAATCAAATAGGCCTCTGTAAGATCTAAGAAAGGTTACCAACAATCGAAGATAATTTGTCAGCAACCGAACTCGGTCAGATTAGTCTTAATGCTTAAAAATGAAATGAGAAAAAACTTCACCGAGATAAATTTTATATTATTTAAGAAAGAGAACACATTGTTGGTCTCGAATTCCTGACAAATTATGTACATAACGAAAAGAGGCACCTATGCTCGTAATGTTGGAACGATGTACTGAATCATTTCTTTCTATGATTATTGAGCCTTTATTTTCCATTTGTTGATTAACTTATTCTTAAATATTATTATCAGCAATAAGACAAAGGAATCCAAAAGTGTCAGATACATAAACGCTATATAACTGTACCTCAGTTTTCAGCTTGAGGGAATCCATTACTAATATTTGCCTCCAAATTCCAGCCTCTGTTTACGAAAATAAGCGAAGTTGTAAACAAACAAAATATAGAAGAGCAAGGCAAGACAACAAGAACATTAATTACCTTTCAGTAGCTTCTCTCTTCAGTTCTTCAATATGTGTTTGGACTTCAGCACATGCAGCTTGGATTTCTATGTTTTTGACACAAAGTTCCCTCCATTGTATAGATAAAGTACTAAGCTCATAGGCAGTGTTTTGCTGACCAATTAAAAAAGACAAAGATAAATCATTCATATTAAAAAAGCAGGTGCTGCTCTTCGCCTCTTCCTCCCTCCCTCTCCTCACCCATCATGTGCACGTGTGCTGTGGTGGCAGGGAAATATCTTCTGAATTACCTGGTGATATTTCCTTTCTCGATTTACAGATTCAATCTTTCCATTCAGATCCAAAACTTGCGCTTGCATTCTAACAGAGCAAGAAGAACACGAATATAACTACCGGTGAAGTATCAACAGGCAGTCAAAATCAATCATTTCCAGAGAGAACTTCACAAATATCTCATCAGTAAGAAGCGTGTAAAAGCAAAATTTGAGATATAACTTGTGGGATGCATGTGGGGCCAAGAGACAGGCATCCTGCTTTCTAGGCTTACAAGAAATAGGAACCAGGAATTAGCTTCATGCATTTGAGACAATACATACTCCTATGTGCTGGTTTTTTTATCACAAGGCAGACATGTTGGATTTGCTGCAAGAGCTAAGGTGTTCTGAAAGATTTATCTTAACAGTGGCCCCTGCAAAATCTAGATTCATGAAGGTGATGAACAGAAGATTGCATTCAAGACAAACAAGTGATCATACAAGTGGATGAAGATGCCTCTTGATTTGTCAAACAATCCAGCACTATATGTTTTGCTTAATCAAATCTTAAATTTATTGGTAGTTCTTTGGAATTCCCTGGAGAATGAACTCGGAGAAGGTAGAGTCCAAATTACTACGAGAAAAATAAGCTTTAGTAGTCAAAATAGTAAACACATTCAATAGTGACCAAAAAAAAAAAAAAAATTGAAAAAAGAACAAAGATCTTCTTTAGGTTTTCTTTTTTCCTTATGGCATGATAATAAAATCCGGACTAGTGGCGCCCATTTTGATGATAACTTAATCTACAGTTCAGATAAAAAATTATTTGTTGCACGGTTCTCGATGTTTTACGGGCGAAAAACTCTGCCAATTTATGACCGACTCTTTGCTGTTTGTGGGATATGCAATCAGTTCTAGCAGGATTGAAGAGCTGAAGTAAGTCAAAGCTGGCCAATGCCAACTACAGTTGCAGAAGTTCTCATGGCTTAGCATCTACTCATTTAATCAAGAAGCACTAATTGATCTGATAACTGTCGGAAAAAGCATGGGTTTGCAAGTTCAACACAAGCTAAACACAGCTTCCCACAGAGTATGGTTTAGCTCCTGTCATCGTGGTGCCAGATTTGGAAAAAATATTTAGTGGAATATGATGTTTCAGGTTTTGTCCTTTGCCAATATGGCATGCCCATATCATTCTACAATGAAAATTGAAGGATACAGAACAAAGGACAGAATTTACAATCGAGAATTCTATGCCATGCTATTATCCAGGTCCTTCAGCACTGGTAGCATTATCTGCTGCAATGGGAGTTGTGAGACTATTAACCTTTGAAGCATCTCAATAATGATAAATTGAATAAAGGCATTTAGGAGAAGCAACGTGTTGCTGACACGTGACAATCACGTTGAACGGTTTGATTTCTTCAAGATATATATCACTGAAGTATCTCAACAGCTTAAATACGAGGCACGGAGACTGAGTTGCATTTTTAGAGCAGCTCACATTTGAATTTAAGCATAAATCTAGAGAAATGCCAGACACACTTGGCAGAACAACCACGTTAGAATATATTATAAATATACACCTAGATAGAGAAACAGCCCCATAACCACCCTAGACCTTACATAAGAGAGGCACAATTCCCAGGCCATTAGGAACCAAGAAGAACTATATATACATGAAGATAGACATTTTAGAAAGAGCTCACTAGCGCCCACATGTAAAAAGGGGTGGATGCCTAACATAATGGTCCAAGGAGTATGTCCTATGGAAGGGTGATCGTCTCTACAGTGGTGCCACATTCTTCAATTAGTTTTTTCAATTGGGTAGCGAAGCAGGAGAAGTAAAGGTTTTACGTAACCAATAGTTTCCCAAGTAGGGGGGGGGCTAGGGGAGTGTACTTACCTCTATTAGAAATGGCTACACCCACAACTTTGTAAGATTCCATTCTGAAATTGGATTTGAGGAAGGCATTCTATGTTATGATGATCAATTTTTTAAAAACCGACCCAGGCATCGGCCCGAAAAAGGAAAAAGGTAAAACCAGTGTCAAGCCAAACGCCAAAATTGAATAAATAAACACAAACTTTGAAATATTATAACAATAATAAATTTTTTATTTTTATTTTTTTAATTTTAGTTTACTAATTCAAAGTAAATATAAATACATGTTTATTAATTAGATTTATTATCCTAATTTATTTTAAAACTTTAAAAACTAACAATCATCGGATCAAAATGGTTTGCTTTATTTAAATTAAAATTATTTGTGCTTATAGTTTTGTTGGGGCCATGATTTGTTACTGAGGTAACTATTAAATATTTAAAATTGGCTACAATTTTTTTCCCATATTGACAGTGGAAGAGAAGCCTCTTTAAAAGGATTAGCACTAGGAAGAAAATTTTAAATGAGTTTGCCAGTGCAGTACGTGAGCCCATCAAAACAGTTGAAATCTTTTGTGAAAAAAACTTAAAACCCATTAACTGGGAAAACCAGACAAAATTTTCCGATTCATGATTGAACAAGACGGTTTAATGGTTTCTTCGCCAGTTTTTCTTTTCCAGTTAATATATTATGATCGGACCAGATTTGAGGCCGGTTTTCGGTTTTCCTGGTTGAACCGGACAGTTGATCCAGTTTTCATAACATTGATGATGATTGAGTTTATGTTTATCATTTTTAATTGGTACCAGCTAAATCGTATGTTTGAATCAGCGTTTTGCCTTTCTATTATTACTTCAAAATATATTAACTCTCTGTACTGGTCAACATGTCATGTCCGTATACCTAATTTGATGCCTACTATTAGGAACTGCTAAAACCTCAACTTTTATGCTTCAATTTTGAAATTGGATTTGAGAAAGGCACTCTGTGATATGATGATTGAGTTTGTGTTGCCCATTTATAATTGGTACAAGCTAAATAGTCTGTTTGAATCAGCTATTTGCCTTCCTATTATTACTTCAAAATATATTCTCTTTGTATTGGTCAACATGTCATATCTAGATACTTAAGTTGATGCCTACTATGCTACGTATTTATCTAAAATAATTTTAATGCTTTTAATAAATTAATCAAATCCCACAAGTCTAAACAGTTATTTGCCGTCAATAACCAGTTCAGGTTTTGACAACTATGCAGCTTAAAATTGGTCACTTGGATAACATTCTCTAATGAAGTACACATCATATCACTCTGGCATATAGTGCCATTTGGTAAGGGAACCAGCTGGTAATGGAATTAGAATTCCTGATCCAATGTCAGGTACAATTGACCTTGAATAATGACCTCTCTCTCTCTCTCTCTCTCTCTCTCTCTCCCTCCCTCCCTCCCTCCCAGGAATGAGTCCATCCCAATCAATTGGGCACGAACTCATTTTTAATGTGCCAAAATTGTCTTAAAGAAGTTCAAAAAAGAAGGGGCATGTCCCACAGAACCCAAAACACCACCACCACCTTCTTCCTCTCCCTCGCCTAGCTTTCCACCTCAGCCAGTCAACTATTTTCCTCTTGCTGCACCCACAGACGTTCTCCTCACCACCCTCAGGGCCAGGTGCTCTTCAACAACAATCCCTACCTCCCGATCTTCTAGATGCCATAATCATCAACCAATCCCTCCAAAACTTTCTCTCGCAGCCTAGCCTTCTCTCCACCATCACCACCCCACCCTTGCAATCTTCATATCCATTCCCAACACCAAAACTCTTCAACTGCTTCCATCCTTGCTCGCTATCTCCTGCCATGAGCTGCATTCGCTACAACAACCAAGCACACAAACACGTGTGTATGCACACACGCGAGCACAGAAAATAGATTCACTCCCCATGGCTACCCAGCTTGCAAATGGTTGGGTTGAAGTGTAATTAGGGATCAATCCCACTCCTCAAAAAGCATTAATTAGTGTTCATATTTTCAAAATAAGATTGGCCGATCACATTCGTTACTTCGATAATTTTCCTTACTTCAAAAAGTGTACCTATGTTAATCAAAATGACTTAATCTGATTAACAATTACATAAGCAGTCTTATATGCACGAACAATTATGAAAATTTCGAGCTAAGGGTATGTGTGGTACAGTCAATCCATTCCTAATCTAGTTTCTGCTTATCAAATTTAAGGAACAGAATCAAGATCGGGATTTCCATCTCATTCCTATTTTCCACTCCCAAGTCATACTATATCCACAGTTAATTCCATTATGCATTCTAACAATTTTAAACTAAATGTTCAAACACACTATCTCGAATCTGATCCGAATATTGGGAAATCTGTCAATTTCCTACAACAGCCTGGTCTTCTATTAAAAAGGTTTTCTACGGTTTAAGTATTACGAGTCATCTAAAAGTCAAAAGTGAAATACAAAAGGTGAAGCCTGAAGGTGCACTAATGTATAATATTAAACTCTAAAATGTAAAATGGCAAACCCAAAGAGCGTTTTGAGAATATACAGAAGAAACCCATATAGATTCTTGAAACATTTGAATGGAAGACTAATAAGTACTACATGAGAAACAAACCTTGCTAAAGATGCCTCCAACTGTTGGTTATACAGCTTCCAAACTTCAGGGCCATGCTTTGACATCAAGTCCAGATTTTCTAGCCTACAAAAAGACATTTAATGCCATAAATACAAAATTTCAGAAAAGCAAGAACCACAAGGATAGGTTATTATAGAAAAATACGTAAAGCCAGCGAACATTAGCAAAATGAATGTGAATAAACGACATGGAATCTCTGCTTGAAAACGTAAAATACTGTATTTCATGAAGCGACAGGAGTTGGAGCATGATGTTTTGGCTGAAATGACAGGTAATCTCAACTCTTATGACTTTTAAACTGGATTTTACAGGACATATCATTTGTAAACTTGAGAATTATAATATCTTGCACCTAGATGAGTCACAAACTATGATGCACCGACACGGACACGTGTGTCCGACACGATACGTGTCAGATACGTCGACTCGTAATTTTTAAAAAAAGTACCGACGCGACACGTTCATTAAATTCTTTAAAATTCTTCATTTATATAGTTTAAATTTAGTTTTATACTTATTATTAATTTTTTTTTTGTTGAAATCTTTTAAATATGAGTACTTATTTGTCATTTACTAATAACTTTGAGTTAAAAATATATAATATTTATAGTAAGAAAGAAAAATGATCATTGTAGAGTGTCCGAAAAGTGTCGGTATCAACACGTATCCGACACGTGTCGGACACGGACACGCTGCCCTAGTTAGAGTGTCCGTGTTACATAGGTCACAAAAATAAAGCCAATATCTAGTCATTTAGACTTTGACTTATACAGATGTAACTAGGGTAAAATGCAATATAGTCAAAGACGATATGCAACCCGAAGAACTGATGTCATAAAAACAAACACACAAAGTCATTGCTGTGATAAAAACATGAGCAGCGCCATGTATATTAATCAGTGTATATTAATCAGTCTAATAAGAACCGTATTGGCCAACTAGATCAAATGGAAAACCAGGAACTAAATCCGAAATGTATCCACTATCCAATTAGAGGCCAAAACTTGAAAACTTAGAAACAGTTAACAATAGCATAACACCCTGGTTCGACCATTTACCTCTTCAGGGTCAATGCCCAGGCTTGATTTTAAAACATTGATATTATCTTGAGAGGGTTAAATATTTATCATAATAGTCCTTAAGAGGAACAGAATTCACTCTAAACCTCCACACTTTCATTCTTCTCTTTGCCTTTATTCTATGATAAACTCCAAGATCAACTAAGAAATGTTCCAACCAAGTGACATTTAGCATGAGGGCAAACCGAAATATTTGGCAACTGAAAAAATAAATAAATAAATCGTGAAATTGTGAGCAAAACAAAGCCCCTCAGACCCCACAAGGCAATGAACCTCAAAAGTTTTGAAATTGACACCTCACTACCCAATTCACTTAGTTGATTTATATATTTCTCTCCACAAAGATATTTAGAGCCAATATGTAACAATGAGTGCACGTTTGGTATGGATTAAAATCTGATTTTAATATAAATCAAAGTCAAACAATCAATATTAACCACATCTTTCATGAATCCCACGACTTTTCAACCACAAATTTCAAAAACTTCAATCACAATCTACAAAAAAATATAATTTTAATCCCCACCAAACACCCTTTGAATCTCTTAAGTATGTTAGGACGCTACTGATGGACATCTTATAAAGTTTTGGAGATGGGTCCAGTACCTAGAACAAATATGCACGTGTGAGTGCATGCGCATGCGTGCGTATGAAAGGCGGTGGCCATTTTCATATGCTCAATATTATGTTCAAACTATATGAATGTTCAATCTTCGAATTATTTGATTATTTTTAAGTGCCAAAGAAAGACAATACACTACTATCTTCAATTTAACATGACATAATCGAACTTTGATAACCACATTCAGGAGAAATATCTAGTTTCGCCTCCCACTACCAGTACCTGATCTCCTGATGCTGCAATAAACGCTGGGCTTTCTGGAGTGCCTGCTTCCATGCAGATTCATCATTCCATTTGTTTGCAGGTGGCACTTCAAGCACATATCTGGTTGTGTCTATTAGCACTGGAGGCTTCCCAGCTCTCACCCTCTCGTATTCCCTCGCAAGCATTGGATGATCCTGGAATTCACTTACATAGACACCAGCACACTAGTTAGATTTATGGTTTCTTCAAGATGAATAGAACTGGGGCATTGAGTTGGAAAATATAACGATTTCTATTAAAACAGGAGCTCGCTTATTACAAAATTTCTATTCAAAGACAAAACTCCAAGCTGCCAAATGCAGCATTTGTTTTTGTAAAATAACGAAGTATTAGGATATCTCGCAGATTAAACAAGTTAGGAAGTGATAATACAAAACATTTAATAAGTCAAATAAGTCACACTTTGGCTTAAAAAGAATAAGAGGGGTTTTAATCTCGAATTTCTGATTATAAGCGTGTTTGCCAAAGCCCAAAAGGAGCTTCTTGGGGAATACATCTACACGCACCCCCAAAGAAGCACAAAAGAAGCAACTTTGAGCTCAGCCA